AGGAGTCTGAGAGAGTGCTCCTTTTCCGCTGGGCCAGATGAGATACGGCAAGCCTCGCTATATAGGTTCTTCACTGTATTAATCTTAACAGACTCAGGATGGCAAGAGTTGTTGTGCAGGGTAATATCCTTTTGTTGCGGCTTGCGGTACAATCTGCTGGTTAATTTACCGTTTGGCTCGATCCGGACCTCAGTGTTCAGGAAGGGGATAAAATCGTCCTGTTGTTCTGGAAAGTCGACCTCCCACTTCAACTTTTTGTCCGGATCTTGCTCTGCAATCTGTTGAACCAGAGCAAGGGCTTCTTCTTTCGTCTCTGCAGTACTGGCAGCATCATCTATGTAGCGTTTGTAGAAGTTCGATAAGTATACCGATAGGTAGTGTCGATCGGTGTAGATAGAGTTCTTCTCGAACTTGTACACTCTAATGATGGCACAGAAGGGCCCTGGCCTCAAACCCATGAACAGACCATCCTGCTGTAGCCAGAGAGTCCTGTTATACACAAAGAAAGAGTTGGTAAGGATGTGTAGTAGGATCTCATGAATGTCTGTCAGGCTGAGTCCCATCAGGTCCAAACTGTCTCGGTGCTCTGTAGCTAGCTCAATGACATCGTCTATACAGCCCTGTACGTTTATGTTAGTGTATAAAGCTGAAATATCCGCGGCAAAGAACTTTCTCCTGGCAAGCTGTTCCTGAGAGATCTGGCGGAGCATCTCTATGTGCTGGATTAAATTACTCAGGTGACTAGGCACCTCATTAAGGAGAGGTTTAAGAATGGTCGTCACTAGCCAACTGAGTCTCTCTGTAGGTGAGTCCACGCAGCTGATGATGGGTCTTACCTTAACCTGCTCAAGAGGGATCGTCGAGCGGAAGCTCTCCGGAGGGTTCTTGTGGGTCTTGATTTGGACGTACATGACTGGGAGGCTGACATGGTCAGGAACTCTGATCCGTCGCTTGTAGTCGTCGTCAAGGTTCCGCTGTGATGAGATCTTCTTCCACAGGTTATTCGACTCCTTCACCAGGTTCTCCGTCTTCTTCTTGATGAGCTGTGTGAGCTGTTGAGAGGTGGGTTCCGCTACTGAGACAGTTTTACCGTTGATTTTTCTCGTGGGAAGCACACGCTGGTACACAGCTGTCTCCTGGAGGTGATTCTCTGTTAGATGCCGATGTGTGTCCTTAGTGTGTCCTAAATTTGGTAATGTTAGGGGGTGCACCATAAAAATAAACTTGCTCGGATTTTAAAAATTTTTGTACCATTGTTTTCTAGAGACTGTGAGAATTTTCACAATACCAAATTTGTCATACCTTTTTGGAAAGATCAGTGAGTTTCGCCTAGGTGCCATATTTGATGGTGCGCGGCTATTGGAGCAAAATTAGCTGTAAAAGTCGCGAAATTTGACCAAATTCGTTGATTTTTGTCGTATTATTTAGATATATCTTCAGTTCCTTGAATGAGATCATTCTGAAAATTGGCGACGACCTTCCAATAGGGCTTTCACAACTGTCCGAAAAATTTGGTGGATATCGGAGTTGGTATAGTGATAAAAATGGGGCAAAATACGCTGCTTTTAGCTGTAACATAATGTCTGATGGTTGGATATGCTTTAAACTTTTCGGAAACTTTTCTTGTAAGTCTATGAGTAAGCTTACCAATTTTTGTTGCAATCGGAGGTCGGGAAGGATACTCAATATCTATTTGTTTGAAGAAAATTGTGCTGGCCGAAATTAGCGCTAAAAAACCATCCTACAGTCGGCACGCGCGGCTCACTGTCGATGGCGCACTACCTAGTAATGTGAAAATTCTCACAGTCTCTAGAAAACAATGGTACAAACATTTTGAAAATCCGAGCAAGTTTTTTATCGTGCACTTCCTACTGTTCATGTTGTATCACGTCGTGACCCCCATTGTCATGTCGTTTCACTATAGTAAAGTTTTTTCGATACAAGGGGAGCTGCGCACTCGTACCTTACCTTTACTTGGGTACCTTGGGTTCGTTTCGTTTCGTTTCGTGCGCGGCGGCGGGTCATACAACGTATGCCAAATTCCCTGTGTATATTAATATTTTCTTACCTGGGGACCCATTGTCATACGTTGTATGACCCGCCGCGCACGAAGTGCGCGGCTCCCCCTGTACAGTCGAAGACGATACAGTTGGTTCACGATGTCAATCCTTCGCATCTCGCCGATCTGCATACGTGGTTGCGAGAAGCATTATTTGATGCGCGCGCGACCCAGTAGTGCATCGCGCTACAAACGATACAGTGAAGCGACCTGGGGGTCACCACGTGATACAACATACAAGGGACCCAGCCTTATTAATGTTAATAAACATGCAGATTGATAATTGAAGATATTATATGGCGACGATATTATATGGCGGAGTGAAAGCGCTGTCAAGTAAAAGTTGGTTTTACCTGGGGACCTCAGGCTATCATGTTCATAATAAAATAGAGATTAGGCGGAATGACAGGCTGAGCGCGGCCCAGTAAAAGTTAGTCACGTGATACTGATAGTCCAGTGTAGCATGTAGATTGTAGAGTGATCATCATTACATTCTGACTGCATGTGCGGTTCATTGTTGGGGTTATGGCTCAATAAAGCACAGCGGTTGTTTGATTCACGATGTCAATCCTTCGCATCTCGCCGATCTGTGGTTGCGATCTGTGGTTGCGAGAAGAATTATTTGATGCGCGGCGCGACCCAGTAGTGCATCGCGCTACAATAACAAAGCGGTTGTATGTTACTTTTTCATGCACGATGATAAATCACGGATATGCAATTGAAGCTTGAAAAGAGCGCCGTAAACAAGGTAAGAAATGGCCATCAGGGTAGAACCAGGAGAGTATACCTTAGGGCCAATAAATTCGGTTCACAATGAATTTGGTTACCATAATTTTGGTTACCATAAATATAATTTTAGTCACAAATTTCCAATTTCGCAAATTTTTAGTCTGCAACAATTTTAGTCACATTTTTCGACTTTTCGAGACCATTTTCCATTCCATTTACGACACATTTAGTCTACCCCGTCTGAGCATTACAGATTAAGCTGCAATGCATTACTCAGGAATTTCGATAACATCAGATCCAGAGTTTGTGACTCTGTATCACTAAGTTCTTCAGTGTTCAGTACACTGTTCAGTTTCTTTTTCACCCTTTTTCGACTTTACCATTTCTGTCGGTACGACGTAGTTTATGTCGATATGATCCTTCAGCTGTTTCAACAGAGCATGCATTTGGATGGATCGGATTAAAAATGTAATGTCCAAGAGGAGCTCTAACCCTTTAAGTGCAATAGGACTTTGGTCATTATATTAATTATAAAGCCCTATAATCAATGTAAGCTTAACAATATTCAATATTCATGTCATATATGCTCTAAGTTGAAATTTTGGTCTGCTTTAAATTAGTCGCCGAAAAATTTAGTCTCGTGAAATTTGGTTTACAACAATTTTGGTCAAAAGTTTGACTAAATTTATGGTAGACTAAATTTTTCGTTCTTAAGGTAATCAAAATTATCAAAACTATCAAAACTAAAAGTCTATGACTACGGTCGGGGTTAAAGTTAATGTACTTGTCACTGGTACATTCGCATCTTTCGTTCCCAGGTAACACGTGATACTGATATATAGCGCACTGGAGGGTGAATGTCACTTTACTTAGTAAAAGACTCGGTACACGGTAGTTGGAGAGTCTGATTCAGATTGTTCGAAAGTGATATATCTCAGCTGTTTGTAACCATGAGGTTGAACCAAGGATATTTAAAATTAAATATTGCAGCTATTTGTATTTTATTTTAGTCTAGACAAATTACCATTACAGACTAGTAGTATTTATTATTGGGACGTAGCGGATGAATGAAATTAGTGACGTTATAATTTTTAGTGCACAGCTTCTTTATTTTTTCAAGTATTCAGATCGTCAAGTTTTAGGAATAGATATAATTTCTAATTTTTCGCACAGCAACTTGCCGTTTGTAGTTATTATCAAACCATGGTATACTTGAACGCAAAAACAAGGATATACACTCAATTTGAGCTAATCTTGCAATCAAAATCAATATCAATAAGAACAAAACAATTTTCTAAAATTTCAAATAAACAGTTAATATTTACAATAGCCCTCACGAAAAAGTAAAGGTCTCAAGTTCAACATTAAGGCCACAGGGGGGGGTCGAGGCTTCAAAAAATGCAAAAAAACATTATGCTTTGAATCAATATATATTTTTGTGGTGGATACTTTGCCACCACTCATTTGTCTGTAGCTATTTTACTTTTTTTAATAAATGAGGTTAACCAATTCTCATTTAACCTCATTTTTTTGATAAATCGATAATAGAGGGCAGAAATATTGATGCCATTACAACTGAAAACTACGATAAGCTTTGTTTTTATTGTTTTTGTGTTATTTCAGCAGTTAAACTTTGAAAAATATACAAATAAAGGCAAAATACTCAAAAATCACATAACATAAAAAACAGTTTTTTGCCTCTCCTGAAAACCTCGAATTTTTGACTTCAAAATCTATCTTCTCCTAGAGTTTTTATCCATTTCACCTCAAATTTGGAACTTATGTTCCTGACATAAATTTAAAAGTTTGATATGTAACGATTGTTGTAATTTTGCTCCTAACTCTTTTTATGAGGTTAACCATTTTAAATTTTGTTACCCGCACTCATGGTTAACCTCATATCTCAGCTTTGGAGCAAGATATCATAAATCGTTACATAACAAAAACTCAAAATACCTTGAAGAACACTGTTGCCAAGTTACAAGGTTCTAAGTCATAAACTGAAAAAGAAGATAGATTTTGAACACGATTTCATTTAAAGTTTTCATTTACAATAGAATTACAGGTAAACCTCAAAATTCAACGCGCGATATCTTCAAATAGGAAACTTTGTTTTCGGTAAGGACAAAAGCATTTGAAAATTTAGATCGAGCTCTACAACATATCTCAAAATCTCAAAATCGACCTCGGACCCCCCCCTGTGGCCTTAACTTTGAAGCCAAAAACGGGGTTTTTAAAAATACATACCTCCATTAATAATAATTGATAATACCAATATTCAGTGTGCAGACCAGACTCCAGAGTTTGGAATTCCGTGCATACAATATTGATATGTACCATACATGAAAGAGCAGTCGATCTCCCCACCACACCCGCGGTGGAAAACAGCAATAACTGGATGTAATTATATTGGACGAATAGAGGGTGTTCACATGAACTTGTTTAAAGCAGCAAAACATTGCCCGCATAAATTAACGATCATGGGTGATAATAACACTCCTAAGAAGCCATTCAGCACATGTTGGGGAAACTTCACGAGCGTCACCAAAACAGCCAACACGATTGCACAAGTAGGACGAAATAAACCATACAGCATGAAATCAGCGAGCCTTGCTTGCGGCATTGGAGGGATGGTGTCCTACGTGTAATCGGTGGCGTTGGGAAACTCGGGAAATTGCCAAGCACAAAAAACAAAAGATCGCGAGTGCTGTTACACGCACAAAACATCAAATAATATACACGAACCTAAACTAAAACTAGCTATCTACCTAGGTAAAAGTAACACAAGTAGGAACTCAATGTTTTTCTCTTACAGTTACACGCATTTACGTGAAATTGTGAGCGCGAACTGATTATTGGAAATAAGTTAATGATTTAAATTAGGATTTAAGTTAAGAAAATTGACTGACGAATCGGATTTCAATCCGTTAACTCATATCCACTGGATTTATGATTTAACCTAGTTATTTAAGTAGTGATCAATGATCATACAACACATAAATAAGGTAAAAAGGCTTCTTGAAACAGAAAGTTTTGATGCCATGAAAAAAGCTACCGTAACAAGCGGTGTTGTAACAGAGTAATTCTTGTCTGTAACCGAACATCTGATTCTGAATATTTTTCTTGCACGACGCTAATTAAACTGACCCATAATAGTCTTTTGCCTCGACAGTTTAAGTTAACAATCTACAGAAGGCTTTGATCTTATCTCGATAAATTGTCATAACTCAGCTACTTTTTGCATGGTACGACTCATGGTTACGTATAGTTACACTAGACCCCCAAAACCAACTAAAAATCTAATGTACTGGAAATTTTAATTGCCGGCAGTTAGCCAGCAACCAGCCAGCTCATCAACAGTGACCAGCCCTGTTAGATACATAAATTTAAGCCGATCTAAATCGTACAAATTACTACGCCTTCAGCAAGGTCATGTTTTTACATTTGTCTTTCAGTTATTCCGGATATAGGGGCAAGGGCCACGTTCGGTCTCAATTTTCAGACCTTTGCCCGCTTGAACCTCAGAAAATGTTTCATAAATAGTTGTTTCGTATTGACATAATTCTGGGGTGCTGGGTCCAGCTCCTCTTGATCCAGCGAAATCAGCAAAACATCAGCTACAGCAGCTTCCGTATATACCTTGATAGCTTCAGCACCTTATTTTATAGCAGACGAGTACAACCGCTATCATCCAGCTTTAAATACGGTATATGCATGAAATCTGAATGGAAAACACTTGGGACTGTCCAGTGATCCCCATTATCTGAGCCTATCAGAGTCTCTAAAATTAGTACTCTGGCTACTGTGGTGCCCTGCGGAGCCCTCCTCGTCTGTAGGCTGCTCCTCGAACAACCCTGCATCAAGCTCATCCTCAGAGTTCGCCCAGTCGTCGAATGCGCCGATTGATCGGTTTCGTTTTCGTTTATTGTCTCTGTTATTGTTACGAGAAGAGTATTCATATGTGTCGGGGCCGCAGCTCCTACAGGCGCAGATCACCGCCGACATTACTTCAAAGGTTTTGTAGCCGAGCTTCCGACGGCAACGCACTGTGAAAGTTCTTCTCTCCACCTCCAACTGTAAGTAAAACGTTTAGCAACTTATTATTTTTAATTTACTATTTACTTTAGCACGCTATAAACTTGTTGAATATTAATAATTTTCCGGTATTTTTCATCAGTACATAGTCGTCCTACTGAATTTTGTTTCTCGCAAAAATTCCTAAATGCTTATTAAAAGTATGCGACGGCATGTTAACAAAAAAGAAAACTGAAGCATGAGAAAAGAATACTTACAGCTGTGCAGCATTTGCAGTGAGTGACCGGTTTGATTGTGGCGACTCCACTCTCTGTGGTAACGAGCTTGGGTTGACTGACACTTTCACAGTTACCTCTACAGCCGTATACATTGTTCACCTGAAACACAACAGAAAGTTTAGATTAAGGTTTTAAAAATGCTTGAATTACCTACAAAGTAACGATACATAAACACGTACAACGTTTGCTTGCCAAAGTAACAGCAACAAATTTAAAACTTTTAAGCATTGAGGTTAATTAATATTTAATAACTCGTCTAAAGATAAAAAGAGCTCACCACTATCGACCGTTGGCCCAGACACTCGTGGTCTACCAGAGGAATCTTATATACGCTCCTGTTGCAGTCCCCTTGTACTAGATAGATGAGGGCCAAAAAACAGTAATATCTTATCAGCATCACTACATTGTTCATCTGTGTTTCCTGCCTAATGAGAATTTCGTTACAGTTAATTAATAACTTAATCGTTGATATATTAAATAAACTGTTGACAGAATCAGTGGCTCTGTTCATAAAACAGAATCTGAGCGAACTTTTTGAACGGACATGATACAAGTTTTTAAATTTTTTAAATGTGCACAATTCATCGTGGTTAAATCATGTAGAGGCTGGCAAGAATTTCATGCAGATAAGTATTAAAAACACGCTAAAAGAAAGAAAAATAACTAATAAATTAAGCAAAAAACACACACACACATACGCTCTAATTCACAATTATAAAAAGCAACACATCAAAATCGACGGCAAAATGAGAGGCCACGTGCATGACTGCTATATACTTTTCATAATGGAAGAAATGACAGGCGGTTGGCGCGTTGATAGTCACTTAGCGGTTAACAAGGAACCTCCTTACACATAAGGAATACATAATTAATGTGTTCTTTTACTTAATCATGTTGACAATGAAAGTGTGGGTGAATCTACGACAAGAGGTAAAAGTATGGCAAATATTGCAGTTTATACTGTTATCAACTAAATTGTACGAGGGTGAGAGTGCTTCGCACAGCATAGACCGCAATGAACTCGAAACCTACGCAAATGGACTGGTGAGTGGTGATTTAGTCCTTAACAGCGAAAGAAAGGAGGCTAATTTTATTTAATTTCAGATGACATTCATCAGGAACAAGGCGCCTTTAGAACAAAGCCATAAACCTGAGATTGAAACCTTTGCAAATAGACGAGTGATTCAGCCCATCTATACAGCGAATTAAGGTAGATTGTGATTAAATTTAAAATGCTATCCACTAGGAACTAGGCGCCGAGAACAAGGAAATTGAAACTTTGAAATAGACAGCTGATTTAGTCCACTTATACAGACAGTTGTAGTAGTTTTTATCAAATTTTAGATGCTATTTATAATAAACTAGTTCTTATGTAATTAAGATTTAACCAGCGGAAATTTATAAGTCTGGTTATTTTTTATTAAACCTGGACCATGGTCCATGGGCCTGGGTCTAATATATGAGTGTCAAAAGAAGCGTGTCTGAACGTTTCAGCACCACTTAGAATGAAACAAACGAGACAAACTGTTTAAACCTTTGCAAATAAACGGATGATTTAGTCCATTTATACAGACAATTGAAGAAGCTTAGATGCTTTTCAAACGAACAAGGGCCTTTAAAACCTAATTAAGAAGTAACCAGTGGATATGCGTTTGTCTGCTTATTATTGGTTTAACCTTTGTCACGGGGTTTAATCAATACCCGTGTCCATCGTTTCAGCGCCGCACAGGATTAAACAAACGAGAAAACTGTTACCCAAATATTTCATCTATTTAGAAAACCCAGCCCCTTCCTAGACGAAACGTTTGGGACTATCGGGAAAATAATATTATTATCTGTTACACATTTCATAAGTTTAAGCTTTTGAACCTCCCTCCTAAGTTATGGTGTACTTGATAATTTGTGATGATTGTATGTTTGGGACCGGGTCACTCAGAAATCACGTCTTTAAGGGGGCCGGGGGTGTCTTTATTCTAAACAAATAAGTAAGCAAGGATCAGAGCTGGCTGAATTTTGCAAAATAAATCAAGAAATGAGTCCTGAAACTAATTGATGACTTGTATAACAAATGACTGTCTAGTCATTGACTACTGATTGTAAATGATATCAGTTGAAGGCGAAAAACTGGATATTATCTACAACATCTTGATCATTAGCTCTGTAAACGTCTATAATTAAACAGCCCTTTATTAACACACGATTATAATTAATTTTGTACCCGTTTATCTAATTATATGACCACGTTCGACATCGGTTCTTATTACAGCAACACTACAACTGATTTTCGTTCTTTCCAGTACCTGTAATTGTTCGATGGTCTGTCGTCAGAGACCTATAACCCAAATGGGAAGGAAGTAATCAAATTTCGAAACTAGAGGATGGAGCTCATGACGAAAAAGAAAATTAAATACAAATTAAGTTTGATAAACACATAAACTGGGAAAAAACGAATTTAAAATTGATTTAAACAGCAAGAAAAATGCTATATTTGGAACAAGAATTATGTTTAAAGGACGAAAAGTTGCCGCACATGGATTAAGACGGTGCGAAATGGCCGAGATATATTGGGCTGCAATCTGACACAAATTCTGTGATGGAAGAAGCCACGTTAATATTAATGCAGGACAGCTTCTCCAACAAGATCCTACCAAGTTAATGCTACTGCAAACTTCTACAGTCACTGAGCGACTTTTAGAGGACGAATAAATATAAAATGAAGGAAAAGTAATTTGCAGTAAATTCCTGTAGATCAATGCATTATTGAAGACGTTTGGGTGTGTTCTGGCTCCGTATTTCCGTGGAAGAGTTGGTGGAATTTGAAGTGCACGAAAGAGACAAAACTCGACAGCTAGAAACAAATACCGGATATTGGTAGCTTCCCGGAACATGAACTGAACATATTCAGTGATATTGTAGTTGTACTTATGGGCAGCTACAATTCATTTAGCCAGTAGCATTGGACAACATTTGCATTCCAACGTCAGCATCTACCTTATCTTAATGTTCTATAATTTTCCAAATCTGGAAACACGAATTTGAAAGGTCATTCGCCTAATTTAATACATTATTATGATACCATAAGCTGAAATAGTTTCGCTGTAACGCTGTCCAGAGTCCATTAAGCCGATTATAAGTTAAGATTCTCAGGATCAATGATTAGTAGGATCAGATCTTCACATATTAAGTATCCTCACAGCTGCACAGCATATATATTTAGTCCTAATCTTGAACCACGGCTAATACAGAAAAACCTTTGATCACACCAGGATCATTGAGATAGCTTTGTCTTAAGATTCAAATACCGACGAAATTTAAAATAATCTGCTCGAATTATCGTAATTATGTGATAGTACAGTAAAATGAAAGCCGGGAGCAACAAGCTAATTGGCGATCTCACGACAAGCGTGGTAAATTATGATTTGACGTGATTAGACCACCGATTAGGTAGCCCGAGAGAGTTAAAGACACGCACAAATGACAGAAAAAGAGAGAACAATATGAGATCCCTATTAAATTAATAATTTTCAGGACTATGATAAGTTCTAAAATGACAGACAATAGTTAAGACTGAAGACCAATATTCGGTCACCATATGCTCATACTTCACGACCACGAAAACCTTGTACATTATCATCGTTGCCCTCATGGTCTGACTCACTCAACGTGAGAAAAAACGAAGCAACCAGCAAAACGTCTCAACGCCTGATAAGAATAATCCGTGCCAGACAAAGCTGGAATAGTGGCATGCGGCAAGGATAACCGCGTTTACGTGTTTGAAGTTTGAACAGCTTTCTCTCAAAAGAAGGAGAAAGGAAGTGTTAAGAAAAGAGCGCTGTGTGCCTGTGTTTGTATGTGTTATGAGGGCTTTTAGCTAACATGGACTAGCTGGCTGAATAGCTAGCTGGCTGAATAGCTAGCTGGCTGCTTGTCAAGCTGGTAAGGTACACTGTAAAGATGTTATTGTCCGGGGCACCCCCTGCTGGCCTCGTGTTTAGTGCTGATTTTCCCAGGCACACAGAAAGGGGGGCATATCGCACAATGGAATCTTCCTTTTGCAGATTTTCAAATTAAATACTTGAGATCCTAAAATGGTCCCCCTTGCCCCTTCTGGGAGTGGGAAGAGTGTGAGAAGTGGGAAGAGTGTGAGAAGAGCGCAGAGAAGAACTTTCAGCTACGACACGTGCCCATGTTGTGATCTGATCTGTGCGTCAGTCATTGATATCTTACATCACTGATCTCTTGGACTACAACTAGATCCTGTATCTCCATTGAGTGATTGCATCATTTGATCACATGCATGGTGGTGTTTTTACTGCGATCATTGCCAACTAATTCGGAAGAACTATAAATTAACCAATTTCATTTCTCATCGGTAGAAAACGACTAGTCGAAATTTTTGCCGAAAACTAGGTCAAAAGCTGAAACCTGGACTGGTTTTAAGTCTCCATAAGCGATCATGTACATCCGTGAACTTTGCCTTATCAGTCACCATTAATAATCTTAATCCAGTGTGTAATTAATCCCACAAACATGAAATACGTATAAACTTTAATTATCAACGAAAATTTAAAATCTCAGTTTACTAGTTTCGATAAAACGTTTGACCAGGCCTCTTTTACCGATGAGCACACATCCGGATAAATAACTCTGCAATGTACAACTGAGAAGTAGGAGACAAAATTACAAAATAGGCCGACAAGTTGCAAATATGTGACTGAATTATCGCTATCATTATCTAAATGCCAACGGTTCCAAGCTCAAATAGTGGGCTAGGCAGCCTCAACAGCGACCCTAGTCGGGGACAAGGACGTAGGCGTCGGTGTGATTATCAAAATGCCGAATGGTTATCGAAATACCGAAAAGAATTATCAAAATTGGTGAGAAATTGGATACAATGCACTTGAAATGATCATGCCTTAACTGCCCAGTTTCGTATGGTCGTGAGAAGTTAGCCAGCATTCTTCATATACTGGGGATAATTCCCGGATTAACCTGGGACTAATGACCATTAATCTCTGGTACTTTGGTAATAATCTTGGGAAAGTTAATAAGACGATGATTTACTATAATATATCGTAACAAAGGGCGGTTTTTTTGTTGTCTTGTCCTTTTAACTTCAAAGCATTTTAAACCTCAAAGCATTTTGATAACTGCATTTATTATTTTAGTAGTTCGAGGAAATTTGGTGGGGTGGTTCTTGGTAAAACACTTTGGTATATTTGTTAACGTTCTTCTGCAGAAAACAGACATTTACCCTAATCTTAACCACGCACCCAAATAAAGTAGAAACTCTTAATTATTTAACCACGCACACGTGAAAGTGTTAGGTTTGGATAATAGCAGTTTTGATTGGGATTGCTCTTACTCTTAGAGTGGGCTTCTTTTGGAGTAAAGTTAGAAGCTTGTGAGTGTGGGTCGGACGTTC